GAAGATACTACATTACTTGCTGCACCTGAGCAATGTTTTCAGATATGTGAATTTTTCTATTGTACTAAGACTTTCGTTTTTGTATATAGTGCTTTTGTAACTGCTCCAAAACACCCTGAATTTTTAGGATCACCTGAATGTTGTTCTAACTCTAGTTTTGTAAGTTTTGAAGTTCTTTGTACATTTTGAAGCCTAACTATCTTTTGATCAGGATCTTTAATACTTATTCTCTTTTATTCTAATACTCTATTACAATATAAAGTTCAAGATCCTGACTTGTTGGGACTTTGGCAATTCTGGATTTGGGGTTTTTCCGGATATTGGATCATCAGTTTTAAATCTAGTAAGATAGCATGTAGAAACTATAAAATAATGAAGCATTTATGATCTAAAGGATATCAAAATTTACAAAAACTAAAGCTTAATATATATTTATTTACTTAATTAAATTTTTTTTAAATGTAGGTTGTTTAAATTACTTCGTTTTTGTGCTAATACTTTCACTTTAGTTCTGTACGCAGACATAATATATATTATAAAGTTCCATTCTGTAACTGCTGTGTCAATAATTCTAACTTGTCAATCAAAATTTTTTCATTTTCAGTAACTTCTCTGTCAGATTCAGTAGTGGTATTTTCTGGCCAAACCTTTTTTAAAGTATCTGGAGAAACATTCTCCCATGATCTTGTGATGCTTCACACAACAGATTTTATGCTAAAATATTTCAAAAATTCTTGAATAGTCTGGCCATTAGTTAAGAATTTTAACATGGATTTTAAAAATGCTACTTTATATTTGAATTTCAGCACATGCACTATTCCCATATTCATAGGCTGAATAATCGACATATAATTTGGGTTAAAGATTTTTTCTACATTATCTTTCACTAAAACTTTAAGAAGTATGAGTTGAACAGTAGTCTACAATGAAGACAATTTTTGCATTATCAGGTAAACCAACCAAATTCAAATTTGGCCGAGCCTTTGTGTGATCTCTTCTAACCAATCATTAATTAATTCTTGTGTCATCCATGCTCTTTTATTTGCATGATATATAACAGGTAAAATCTGTACTCCTTTAAATGCTTGAGGTTGTGTATTTTTACTGATTACGAAAAGTTTACACTTGCACATTACTGCAGCATTTGTACATGCTAAAATTGTTAGCATCGCTTTGGAATCTTTGATACCAGTTGGAGCCTTTTCTGTAGAGGTTGCCGAGGTATTTCACAGTACATATTGGCAGAAAAGACCAGTTTCATTTTCAAATTTGTTCTGGAGATAACATTTTACTATTAATGAGTTCAATGAATTTATCTGTGAATAGTTTGGCAGCTTCAGTATCAGCTGAAGCTTTTTCACATAAAATTTTTAATTGCCTTATGCCATGGTGATTTTTAAAGTTGGTTAACTAACCTGTCGAATATCTGGACTCAGTTTTTAAGTTTATTTCTTCATGAAATATTTTGGCTTGAGCCATTAGCATTGGACTTGTCAGTGGCATGCTGTCCCTGTCTGTTCACTACTATTCCGTCATCACTTGGTCATAATCGTCACTTTTGGCATAATGAATAATTTTTCTGTTATTCATTGTGAGGTGTGGGAATCCACAAAAAATTCAAAAAGATCCTTTTTCTGTTTTCTTATGTCGTATACAGTTTCCAATGTCATACTTCTCACATAATTCTAGACAGATATGCCTTTGTCTATTTTCTGCAGCAGTTCTACTTTTTGTTTAATGGGCAATTGAAACATGCTTTTACTTTATAGATCCTTTTGCAGCTCCAGAGGTAGATATTCTTTTTGACATATAATCAAGAATTCAAACTTTAATTTTTCAAAAAATTGTTGTAATAAAAGCAGCCTGCAAAAAATAATAAACTGGGTCAAATCAGAAAGTTAAGGAACAGCGCAATCTTCTATATTAACTGAAATTCCTTGGAATCAGCAAAGTATAATTTTAGCTTAATAGAAAGACAAGTTGTTTTGCTAAATTTTGGCTTGTATGCACTGAGACAATTAAGCTGAATTGTATTAGTTTTTTTTTTAATACCCAAGTCTATTTCTTGCACATGTGTAAGGTTTATCTGAGTCCTGAATAAATAAATTCCTTTTCTACTTCAGGCTTATCGAGGGCAGGCACTAGATATCTTACCGCCTGATGCAGTCACTGTGGGTCCTACTACCATGTGCCTCCCTTAGTTCTCAATTTTTTATCCCAGTACTTTTCCTAAATTCTACAAATTTTATCATTGCTTAATTTTGTTACTTGGTGCTTCTCTAAATTCCAAAGTTTTTCATCCCTAAATTCTGCTTCCCATTGCAATCATACGAGCTCTGGTGTCGGTTTTGGGTTTATGCAAATAACAAATCAGTTATTAACTCAAACAGCACCAAATGTAATCTTTTGGACTATGCAAAATCATTAGCAAAATTAGCAAAATTTTGCATTCATTAGGCAAATTTATTTTTAGGATGTGGAAAGAAATTTCTGTTAAATTTTTTCTCATCAACATTTCTTAGCACAAGTAATTTAAATCTGTAACTATCACCAAGCATAATGTCAACATAAACAGCTACCATACGTTTTGTTATTCAATTACTAATGTAAAAAAAAAATTGTTTAGGCATCACTGCTTGAGCCATAATTCAAGTTGTCACGTGTTGAAAAACATGCTATTATGAAAGCAAAATATAACAATTAATGATTTGCCAAGTTGGCATCAGGAATATAAAATATTAGTAGGTGTAAAATCAACGATGTTTCTATGTAGAATATTTCAGTTTCAGATATATGTCAATCAGATATGCAGCTACCGAGCCAAAATATTGATCACACAGATTTATGCTAAAATGAATTTCTTCAATAATGAGAAGAATACCATATGTTTTATAATCGTTATATGTTTATTAACCTATTTATCATTCATGGCTACATATGTTTTATTATGGAAGGAAAAACATCAAATGTGCACACAAAAATAATTATTTCAGAGGTTAGGTTTTAAATTATGTCCAAAAAGGCACTTTTTTTTTAACGTATTGTGGGTTACTTTTATTTATTAAATATTATGTTCTTTGTACTTTCTTCTTTGTCCATAAAATTCAATTCGATAGCAATATCTCAAAATAATTTTAAAACGAGCATAACTTTAGAATTTCTGATACACAGTCTCGCATGCTGAAGATAAAAATATTTTTTTTCCATACAGTGTTGCCATTGCTCGCTTTGAATTAGTTAAGTTTGTTAATAGAATTAATCAAAAATTCGTTAAAGTGTGACAAAGTATGAAATGAATAATAAAACAGATTTGTCCAAATTTGTTCATTGAGATGCAAATATTGGGTGGAAACGTATGTTATTCAAAATTTAGTGGCTCTAGGTACCATTGTTTTATCACAGTGCAAGAAACATATATACATTTATGCATCTTCGTTATTTAATTTCTTTAAATATAATTCAGGTCTCTAATATTTGGTGGCAACAGTTTGAAAAGTGAAAACAGACATTTAAAGTTTTCGATGCGAAATGCCAAAACAAAATTAATATCCCATCTGGGCTAATGCCCTTTTGGCTATAAATTCAAAAAAAAAAAAAAAAAAGTTTGTTGGCGATTTGAGGTCTGGATTTTAGATTATTCTGGATACTGGACGTCCAGATCTCGGGCTTTGTAATTTATTTAATAGCCCCAAAACATATTTCCTGTTATTCCTTGGAACTGACTACATCCACTTCCAAAGAATCTCCATCAATTTACAAAATAAATTGCGTCATCTCATTCTTTCGCACTACTTTTCCTTTCCAATAACAATTCGTATAATTCATCTGTATCTTTCTTTGCTAAACCGTCCTCGACTTTCTTTAACAGTTTAGAAACTACTCAGTTCTCAGTGTTTTCTTTTATTTTAATCCATCAAGTTCTGCCATTTTCACATTAATATGTAAATGTACCCAAGAATGCAAATTATCAAAATTCAAATCAAATTATTTTAATACTAATTATGCTGTTACATAATTCTTAGGACTTGGTCTGAACATGTCCTTCTGTATGAAGGTCATAATTCCTTGTTTTTTTACAAATCAGAAATTCCAGGCTTGATTCAACATTTAAGACCAAAAGTTGGCTCATGTAGTAAACACAGCATCAATTGGTTTTTTTTTAACATATATAATCATTTTATATATACGTATTTACATTAATATGTAAATGTACTCAAGAATGCAAATTATCAAAATTCAAATCAAATTATTTTAATACTAATTATGCAGTTACATAATTCTTAGGACATGGTCTGAACATGTCCTTCTGTATGAAGGTCATAATTCTTTGTTTTTTTATAAATCAGTAATTCCAGGCTTGATTCAACATTTAAGACCAAAAGTTGGCTCATGTAGTAAACACAGCATCAGTTGGTTTTTTTAACATATATAATCATTTTATATATACATATTTACATTTGTCCTATTATTATGTGAACCAAACTTTACAGAAATTCAATTGCATAATGAAATGATCTGTGGTTTCCTTTTCATTCCTTCATTACATAATGTTCACCCGCCAATACAATTTGAATTAAAACGTTTTCTGTTTATATTCATTCTGCTGCTTGTACTTTCTCTATTTTCAAATCTAGCAGTTTTTTCAGGATTTTCTGCAGTTTTAAATTTCAGTTATTCAAATAAAATATAATTTAGATAATGTTTCTAATTTCACTACTGATCAGGAATTTTTATTTTTTTAATACTTGTACAGAAGTAAAAATCATAAAATTTCTAGCAATTAAGTAGCTACTGCAAAAAAATAATAAAAAATAGGAGGCATCAGGGCATGTTGTGTGTAATGTTGTTGTAAAAAATATTATCTATTAAATCTGTTGTCTGTCTATTCATTTAATATAATCAGATTCAAAAATATTAAATGTATTCTAATGATATACTTTTACTATTCTACATATAAGTCTTTATTAAAACTGAATGTAAATTTTTTTCCTCCATTTCAGGTACAGACAATCTCTTCCAAAAGAAACTGCTAGTAAATAATTTTTGTAGAGAAGCACAATGTAGTGGCCTTTATTTATAAAATTACTGAAAGTTCTTAAGAGTACAAAAGTTAGTTAATAAATTAAATGTTTTGTTATTGTTAATGACTTTAATTATTAAATATTTGTGATTTTATACTTCATATCACATTAATAAGTAGGAAATAATTATATATATTCACAATCTTGTTAAACATGGATACCATTATTAACTAGATTTATTTAAATCTGGGTTTATAATCTGTAATTATATGAAATTTATGTAATATTAGAAGTATTAAATTAGAGTATTTATTTATATACTGTAACGTGCTAAACAATATGGTACAGTAACCTGATACAGTCAGAAGTCGTTAATCCGGACTCGTCGGGACTTCAGCAATTCCGGATTATCGATTTTTCCGGATTATAGATCATCAGTTTAAATCTGGTAAAATGGCATGCAGAAATTATAAAATTAAAAATATGAAACCGTAATTTACAAAATAAAGAACAATTATGATCTAAAGGGTATCAAAATTTACAAAAAAAAAAAAGCTTAATATTTATTTGTTTACTTTATTAAACATTTCTTTCAATGTAAGTTGTTTAAGTTGCTTCGTTTTTTTATGTGATAATACATTCTCTTTAATTCTATAAACAGACATAATTTCTTGTTCAGTTACAAAGTTCCGCTGTTCCAGTCCTACAATTGCTGTGTCGAGAATACCGACTAATTTGTCAATCGAAATTTTTTCGTTTTTAATAACCTCTGTCACTTTCTTCGCTATCGGAAGCGAATTATAATGACTTATAATGACGAGGCATTTGATTTAAATCATATCAAAGACGAGATGAAATACTACATTGAGTAAGCAATTATAAGCCAAAAAAAATAAAAACATCTGCCCTTAAGATAAGGATAGTGCTGACAGATCAACTTCCAATTCATTGCATGCCACAGCGTTAAAGATAAACAAAGTTTAGATAAACAAAGGATATACCTATATCCATTTTTTGCAGCAATTCCACTTTTTGTTTAATGGACTCCGAAAGATACTTTCGCTTTGTATATCCTTTACATATTAGTAAATATATATCGGAAATTCTATTTGACATAATCGAAAGTTCAAGCTTACTTTTATAAAATTGCTCTAACAGTCTGCAAAAAATAATAATCTCCAATTCGAAGATTAAGGAACAACGCAATCTGCAACATTAACTAAAATAGATAATTAGATAATTTTAGCTTAGCTTATCCCGTCCGTTATACATTAAACACGCACACGCAAATTTGCAGCGGTAAAGGTCTTGCGTGCATGCGCAGAAAGTTTGTAGCTTTGAGGTCCGGATTATGGGTGTCCAAATTAACGACTTTTGACTGTAGTTTATAAGTTCTTTCTGGGAGCACAAAAGGAAAAAAAAAGTTACGATCTTCATAGGATCATTTTATTGGCAATAAATACTATACTTACCACAGAAGAGTATATAATTTTACTTTACCTTGAGATATATAATTTCTCTGTTCCAAAATTGTTTCACTGCATCCCCATATGCGTTTCAGATTATGTAGGTGACCATGGCAAGATTTGACATTTCTAAACATCTTTACGGTTGCACACTATTAGATGAAGGCAAACCCCATCAGAATTAACTAACATTAATTAATTAAGGCAGCAGCAGGTATATCTTGTCAGAAAGGAGGAGGATAAAAATATTCACCTGCCAGAGACAGCTGCAGATCTACCAGGGGTCCGTTTGAATGCCAGCTTAAACAAACCCCATACCACTAAGAGATCACCACACATAAATCCTTCTATCTGCTGTAAAAGTCCCGCAAGCTTCAACTATTAGACCATAATACACACAAAAAAATAAGTAAATAAAAATTTTAAGAATTCAGTCAATGAAAATTGCCATTCTGAGGCTTAAAACAGCTTTCACAGACATATATTTTATATATACACTGGTCATTGCAACCAGTGTGTATACAAAATGACTTATGTAGTACGCATAGCATTATTTAATACTGCAACTGCCGCATTCCAGTTCTGCAAAGTTCTACTGCAGAGGGCACATAGCATTAGAATTTGCAGAAATTACGATATTCTCTAGAGAGAAAGGCTAACAAGGTGCAAAAATGGAGCTGTAAAGCATCACAGGCATGAGAGAACTCCATGTCAGTCATTCAGATATACAATTCAGTGATATATGCATTAAAATTATTGCAAACAATTTTTAAATATAAAGAAAAATTGTACTGTAAATCAAGAAGTTGAACAAAAATAGTTTTTCTCCAAACTTGCAAATTGGACATTAGCTTTTTTATTATGAAGGTACAAAATGAATAAAAATGTTTGTCACTTATTATGTGCCTGCTCTGTAGAAAACTATATATATGGCTATGTTTAATTAATAGTTAATTTCTCATGAGTAGAATGGCAGTGCTATAAAAAGTATTGCTGTATGATTTTTTACGAAAATGCTAAAAAGTGCATGTGTTACTAAAATAATTACTATACCCAATATATCTTAAAACAGATGTAAAAATAGGATTATAAAGCAAATTTTTTAATACTAAAAATTTATACAACTTTATTCAGAATAAAAATAATTGCATAAAATATAAAACTTTTATTAGCTAGATGATAAAGATTCTCTTGAAATGTCTTTTAAAAATTCATCAAAATTCCAATTAGTATAACACTTGAACTCATTGCCTAGTTTCCTTTTGTGTTGTGGTGTGAAATTCGTAGCTATGACTCCAAGTAATTTTTTGGCACAGTCCTCCATGACTGCCCCTGAAATAAATGTAAAAATGAATCTATTATTTTTTCAGAACTGTAAAATACTCTTATTTTAATTATTAAATTTAATTTGTAATTTGAATTTAGAAATTATACACAAAAATGCTAAAAAGAATTAAAGTTCTGTGAATATCTTCTTAAATCATTAAATATTTCTAAAATAATTTTTAATGCTTTACATAATACAATTTAAATACATTAAAATTTGGATGAAATTACACAAAAGTAATTAGATTAAAATGGATGAGAGGTTTGGGTATAGTAAAAAAACTCAATATATTTTACTGACTTAAATAATATGATGAATGATATGCAATTACCTGTACATAACACAATTTTGTCTTTAGTCAGAAACTGAACAGTTTCAGAAGTTTTTTCTAAACATTCTTCAGATAAATAAGGTGGATCAACTATAACAATATCAAAATATGCTTTGAACTTTTTATCAATGTTCAATGGATAACTGTAATCATAATAGACAAAATGTTCAGGAAACCTTTCCTGAAATCTTTTATCATATTCAAATAAGTAATGTCTATCAGAGTCTGGATGTAATTCTTTTATATGAGTATATGCGGAAGGACATGAAACACAAGCTATCCTAAAAAGGAAAAAAAAACTTTTAATTTATAATTATCAGAGTCAAATTAATCAATTATCAATCAAAAAAGAAAAAAAATCACAAAAAATTAAGTCGGAGGGAAAAATATATATTTATAATAATAATCACTCAAAACATCAATGAGTAACTCAATATATAAAAAAAAATTAAAAGGAAAATTTGCAGCCCAGAAGAAGTATTTGGAAAAAGCTTATCAGTTACTAATGGATACAAGACAACAACATTAAAAACACAAGGCAACAAACTAGACAAAATGTAAGTAATTTGTTTAAAAAATTAAAACAAATCTTGCAAAACAAAAAGGTGAATATAATAAATATGAGATCGCAGTGTTATAATGGCCTTCATTGAAAAAAATTCACCGTCTCAGCAATTAATTGCCAAAACTGATTGTTGATTGAAAAACATCCTACTTAAGATCTCATAACTATTCCAGTCAGTGATTGTTTCAGACATTTTAAACTGTTTCTCACATTTAAATGACAGAAGTTTCTCTGCCCAAAGGTTAAAAAAACTGCTATATTTTAAGAAATACTTGCCAGAAACCACAGAAGCTAAGCATGAAAGGCCTTTATTCTACCTGTAATATTTAATGTTGCGTCTCCATTTGCTCTCTGGCTTACAGGTGCATTTCATAATCATTCTTTGCACATTATATTATAAGGTAAAATGTCTTGACAGAATGTTTCATATATCTTGACATCACACTGAATTTTACCTAACAGAATTATATAATGGTAGACTAGTATAACATAAATGTACCATAGAAAGGTTGGGGGGGAGCTAAATAAATATAAGGACATCAAATATATAACACAAAATTTTAACTAATTTTATTTATACATTTGTAACAATATATATAAAATGCCACTTATAGCTTACATATTTGTATCTATAATTGTCATGGGAATGTCAACATTACACACAGTTAAAAATCTGAATATAATATTCCTCTCTTAAAAATTTAACCTTTAATATCCTGTCAGTAACCTAATGCCTTATTGAACATAAGTTCTATATTAATGCATATTTATGCTACATAGTGAATGCTTCTCTACAAAAGCAAATAAGTTCACAAATAAACAAAGCCGGATTTAGCATTTTTCCCAGGTGGGGCAAAAACTTAAACGAAGATGGGTGAGGTAGTTTTAAATTTTCTATAAATTTTAATTTTTTTAATACATTTAAAAAAAATAGGGTTTGATATAAAATTTTAAATCCATTTTACAGTCAGAAATTCTTTATGTGCCATTTTTATTATAAAAGAAATTACAGTCAAAAGTCATTAATCCGGACTCGTCGTGACTTCGGTGATTCCGGATTATAGATTATCAGTTTAAATCTGATAAGATGGCACGCAGAAATTACAAAATTAAAAATATGAAACCGTAATTTATGAAGTAAAGAACAATTATGATCTAAAGGGTATCAAAATTTACAAAAAGAAAAAGCTTAATATTTATTTGTTTACTTTATTAAACATTTCTTTCAATGTAAGCTGTTTAAGTTGCTTCGTTTCATGTGATAATACTTTCTCTTTAATTCTATTAAACAGACATAATTTCTTGTTTAGTTACAAAGTTCCACTGTTCAAGTCCTATAATTGCTGTGTCAAGAACACCAACTAATTTGTCAATCGAAATTTTTTCGTTTTCAATAACCTCTGTGTCACTTTTTTCACTATCGGAAGCGAATTATAATGACGAGAAACTTGATTTAAATCATATCAAAGACGGAGTACATCGAGATGAAATACTACATTTAGTAAGGAATTATAAGCCAAATAAAATAAAAACATCTGCCCTGAAGATAAGTATAGCGCTGACAGATCAACTTCCAATTCATTGCGTGCCCGCGTGTCGTCCCCCCCCCCAGAGCAGCGTGAAATTGATAAACAGATTTCGGAATGGTTAAGAAACAAAGGATATACCTTTATCCAGTTTTTGCAGCAATTCCACTTTTTGTTTAATGGACTTCGAAACATATTTTCACTTTGTAGATCCTTTACATATTAGTAAACTATATATTGGAAATTCTATTTGACATAATCGAAAGTTCAAGCTTACTTTTATAAAATTGCTCTAACAGTCTGCAAAAAATAATAAGCCGGATCCAATTCGAAGATTAAGGAACAACACAATCTGCAACATTAACTGAATTAGATAATTTTAGCTTAACTTATTCCGTCCGTTATACATTAAACGCACATGCGTAAACGTATTATGCGCATGCGCTCACGCACATTCGCAGCCGCAAAGGTCTTACGCGCACGCATAAACGCCTATGCGCATGCATCAATGCAACGCATGCGCAGAAAGTTTGTAGCTTTGAGGTCCGGATTATGGCTGTCCGAATTAACGACTTTTGACTGTATATAACAAATGCTTTAGTTTCTTTACTTATGGCAAAGCATAAGAGGGCTATCTGCCTACGAGGTGAGATGCCTTCTCTGAGGACTTTCTAAGAATAATTGGCTTGCATGCAAGTTACGCATGAGCGAAACAATGACCTCCTCCTCAGGCTTTAGCTTGAAAATTATTTTCCTATACTTATAGAATGGTTGATTTCTGAGGTTGTTCTTAATGCATTATTTTCGCGATCAAGATTTAAGAATCCGCTTGAATAATTAGACAAAAACAGCTAACATTAATTTATGAAAATTACTGAATAAATATCATTTTGAAAATAAATTTTCAACAGCCAATCCAATGACTCACTTCAAACAAGAACAAAAGTTAGCAATGAATATTGCGGAAATGCGAGAAAAAGCGGCAAGATCCATGTTTAGAAAGTCTGATTATATCTTACTTTTTAAACACTTCTTTTATTAGCTGCCAAAAAATAAGGTAAAGTCAAAACCTTTGATATGCTTTTCTCTGGTTTCATTTACGTTACCTTAGTTTTTATAGTTTAAGAGGGCAGTGACAGGCTCGTCTGACATTGTCAGCGATGCCTGGAGTCCCACCATAGTCCTCTCTGTGATCTTATCGGAGTCGTATTTGGCTGTACTTAGTTTTCTTTTAACTGTTTGTTCCATTAAAAGGTTTCTTAAAAGAGGTTTTTAAACCTTGCTTTAAAACTACTAATTTTGTATCAAAATTAGACAACATTCCACCTGGGGAACAGACCCCCGCTTGCCCCCCCCAGATATGGGATTGCGAATAAATTATCTGAATAAAACCTGCCTCAGATGTTGAACGGTGTCTTGAGCTAGCAAGAAATGATTTTCAGATAATATCTGATGCTGAATTAACACTCAGACTTCTAAAAACATCATTGTAATATTTTCCATTGCTTAACTCTCATTAAAAAAGCCTAGCAGCAAGTGACTTACAGGTCCATGAATATGGCTTGGAGGAAAATGTGACCAGATTGTGTTGCAAGCAGAGATTTTAAGGGTTTTTATATTGAGAAATTTTTTGTTACCTAAGATACTGTGTCTCTAGGCAAAACCATAGGTCTGGAAATTAGCAATGTAGAAGATGAATTATTATTAGAAGGCCATAAAAATAACTCAACAGGAAAGAAATACAACAACATCAGAAGCAGCAATCAGAGTTCTCTGATCCATGAAATTTGTGCAAAATGGAATCAGATGCAGGTAATACATGCAGGTTTACATAATACTATCACCCTGAGAAAGCTGTAGCAAGCTAACAACATAAGCATTTTCAATGATAATGCCTTATGTAATTTAAAAAAATTTTAAAATGTAGGCAACAACAGATCACATTGGACAGATTTTGAATGAAAAAGATGTTCAAAAAGTCTCAAGAGGAGTGGCACTTGGTGACAAAACAAAAGGTAAAAGATGCCTTTCTAATGAGTTACCTGATATTTTTATGGGAATTTAAATATGAACAATACTGTCATCTTCACAATTTTCCACTTATGCTGTCCACTCTTCTTTATGCAGTTATAGAACAACTTCCAAAAGCATAACAGATGGCAGTTGTGGAGAAAATGAAGGAAGAAAAATTGAAACCTATTCTTCCATGAAATTTGTACAAAATGGAATAAGTTTCAGGAAATGATAGTATCCTGATAAAGCAGTAGGAAGATACAGCATCAGCATTTTCAAAGATAATATACCATATCTCACTTTAGGAACACTTTAAAAGATAGGCAAAAACAAATTGAGTGAAACAGAGACACAGGGAATCATCAGCATAGTTAAATGGCATTAAGAGATGCAGAAAAAATAAAAGCTGCTTCAGAAAAATAGTCATCTAGTATTTCCAGGAAAAGGGTAACATCCATTATAAAATAACATCTCTTCCTTATGAGTTTCCACTTATGCCATCGACACACTGCAAGTATAGTATAATTAAATGTATTTTATCTGTTTAATATTGTGTATATTATTGTATTTTATTTATTGTCTTACATTTAATTATTTCCATTCATTTTATGTTATAGACTTATCCACAGGGTACTATAACAAATTTTAAATAATCAATCATGCATCATCCAGGAACAGATTAATCCATTTTGCATTCATTCTTATGGAGAAAACAGTTTCTGTTTACAAATATTTTGGGGTACTTGCATATTATCTTATTGACTGTAAAAGTTGGCTACCATTGAATTATGAAAATTGGTGGAGATCTTATTGAAGTTGTGCCAATAGTTCCTGTGAAATCGATCCCCTTTATTTAGTAAACAATTGGTATTCGACCTGATTCATTTCTGTGCTTTGTAAAAAAGGCTTTTGTTGATTTCTACTATTTTGTTAGCTGTGCAAAGTTTCCACAAGTAACTGTTCCAAATTATTATTACTGTTTTGTCAGCCGTATTCAGTAGACGATATCTCGTCTATCAATATACACTCTCTTTAATGGCATGATCCCATAAATTTGAAAATAATGTACTGCTTGATGTTTTGTACAACACAGGTCCCAAATTTCAGTAATATATTTTTTTTTTTTTTTTTTTTTTTTCAAAAATGTACAGAAAACATACAACAAAAAAATCTGAAAGGTTTTCAGATTAAATTACGTCCAAAGAGGCGTTTTTTAACGTTTTGGTGTGTACTTTATTTTATTAAATATCATGTTCTTCGCACTTAAACCATAAATTTCAGTTCAATAGCAATGTCGCAAAATAATTTAAAAATGAGCTTATCTTTAGAATTTCCACTATACAGTTCCATGCGCTGGAGATAAAACGGTTTTTTCCCTCCTGTAGATTGTTGCCATTGCTCGATTTCAAATCGCTGAGTTTGTTACTCAAAAATTCGTTAAAGTTTTACAAAATATGAAATCTATAATAAAACAAATTCCAAATTTTGGCTTCTACATGCCCATATTCGCAATCGGATTATGTCATTCAAAATTCGATGGCTCTATGTACCATTGTTTTATCATAATGCAAGAAATATACATACATTTATGCCGATTTTTCATTATTTAATTTCTTCAAATATAATGCAGGACTCTAACATTTGGTGGCAACAGTTTGAAAAGTGAAACGGACATTTATAGTGATTCAACGCAAAATCGCAAAGCAAAAACAATAGTCCTTCAAGGACAAAGCCCCTTTGGACTAATAATGGATAATTTTTATTCCTGTTCATTTAAAAAAATGGTTTATCGAGAATCAGTTGGTGTTTGCACCAAATGAAATTGCAGATGTTACCAGTGTGTTGTTACATCATGCTTATCTATAATAAAACAGTAATAATTTGCTAACAAAACAGTAATAATTTGGAACAGTTATTTGTGGAAAATTTGCACTCATAGAGTTTTAATCAAAGCTTTAGGTAA